CAGGCGCAGTGGTGCGTGCCTGTAGTCCCAGCTACTCAGGAGGCTGAGGTGGGAGGACCGCTTGAGCCCAGGAGTTCTGGGCTGTAGGGCTCTATGTCGATCAGGTGTCCACACTAAATTCGGCATCAATATGGTGACCTCCCGGGAGTGGGGAACCACCAAGTTGCCTAAGGAGGGGTGAACCGGCCCAGGTCAGGAATGGAACAGGTCAAAACTCCCCTGCTGATCCATAGTGGGATCACATCTGTGAATAGCCACTGCACCAGCCTGGGCAACATAAGGAGACCTGGTCTCTTTAAATAAACAAACAAACAAACAACAAATAAATAAATAAAGTGCAACAGCAATGATGGGTAGAACTGCTTGCATCTTAGCACCAATCTAGGCAGCAATACCAATCTATACTAGGAGTCTTATCCTTCACTGACATGCACTTTCAGTTATTCTAAAATGTCAGTTTCACTTGACTGATGAAGCAATAAAAATTATTAACTTTGTTAAATCGCAACTCTTAAGTCTTTTTGATATTCTGCGTAACAAAATAGGAAGTATAAAGAAGGCACTACTACTGCATACCAAAGTGTGAGGATATGCAAACTCATCCCTTTTTCCAAGTAACTATTGTTACTTCAAAGAAAAGAGGGCATTAAAACAGAGCAGGAATAGCAGAAGGGGATTCAAAGAAGAGGAGCTAAGTAGGATACAAGATATGCTTCCAATCCTCCAAAAATTAATGACACAATCTAGAAGAAAAAGTCTGCTATTATTATTTTTATATGTCCATCTCTTCAATGATTGTTCTGACAATTTGCTATGTTCTAGGAACTATGCTGACCACTAACTATTGAATTGAACCTGAAATAACAAACTTTTCTGTCAGAAGAACCCAGAGTTCTAAGCCAATGGTTCTCAACTCTTAACAGCAAAACCTGTATTAACAGTAGAATCCCAATAGCAGCTCACAGATAAATGCTCTGATTGATGTATCATATAGAAAAGTTCAGATACACATATCCCATGAACTTGCCTTCTATCTTCCATTTATCTATTCTCAACAGTGATTCTGTGGACTATCTAATTCAATCATATTTTTCCCCAGGTCTCATCTGTTCCCTTCTACACATACACATGCATGTACACATGCAAGTACACACGTAACACTCCCTCGCAGACTGTTCAGGGGTCCCACTATCCTTCCCCTTCCTTTTATTTCTCTAATTTTTTTTTTTTTTTTTTTTTTGAGTCGAAGTTTCGGTGTTGTTACCCAGACTGGAGTGCAATGGCACAATCTTGGCTCACCACAACCTCCGCCTTCTGGGTTCAAGCAATTCTCCTGCCTCAGCCTCCCGAGTAGCTGGGACTACAGGCGCGCACCACCATGCCTAGCTAATTTTTATATTTTTAGTAGAGACGGGGTTTCACCATGTTGACCAGGATGGTCTGGATCTCTTGACCTCGTGATCCACCCGCCTCGGCCTCCCAAAGTGCTGGGATTACAGGCTTGAGCCACCGCGCCCGGCCAAAGGTAGACATTTTCTTTTGTTTCTGATTTTGATAAAAATTGTTGCAGTCACCATTAAGCCTGATATGAGTTATTATATTTATATAATTAAAAACAACAAAGGTAGTGGTTCCTCAACATTTTTGTTACTATTGTTCAATACTAGCCTACTCCTTATTTCCTGGATTTTTTTTAAATTGTGGTAAAATATACATATTTACCATTTTAGATATTTTTAAAAGTGTACAACTTGAGACGGGCGCAGTGGCTCATGCCTGTAATCCCAACACTTTGGGAGGCTGAGGCAGACGGATCACCTGGGGTCAGAAGTTCAAGACCAGCCTGACCAATATAGGGAAACCCCATTTTTAAAAATAAAAAAAAATGTGTACAATTTGGTGGCATTAAATATGTCCACACAGTTGTGCAACCATCACCTCCATCCATCATCAGAACTTTTTCATCTTCCCAAACTGAAACTCTACATATTAAACTCCCCATTTCCCCTTCCCCACAGCCTCTGACAGTCACCATTCTGCTTTGTCTCTACAAACTTGCCAATCATATTATTTTACTGGTAAGAATCTCAAATCCTGAAAGACTGAGTCACTTTTCCAAGATCATCCAGATAAAAGTCAAAAGCAAGCACTTAGTTAGAAAGGAAAGCAGCAATCATCTACAGCCAAATAGATTCATAAGTCATACCAAATAACTTCATTTCCTTTTCTGCCTCAACGCCTTTATAGCCTTGGTTTGGTGGGTGTCTGCAAAGGATGGTGGATGGACAGATGTATAAAGATACATCCTCACTGTCGGCCAGGTGCAGTGGCTCACACCTGTAATCCCAGCACTTTGGGAGGCCAAGGCAGGTGGATCACCTGAAGTCAGGAGTTTAAGACCAGCCTGACCAACATGGAGAAACCTCATCTTTACCAAAAATTAAAAAATAAAAAAATTAGCCAGGCATGGTGGTGCATACCTGAAATCCCAGCTACTCTGGAGGCTGAGGCAGGAGAATCACCTGAACCCAGGAGGGAGAGGCTGAGGTGAGCCAAGATCATGCCATTGCACTGCCGCCTGGGATACAAGAGGGAAACTCTGTCTTAAAAAAAAAAAGGAAAGAAAGCCCGTCTCTACTAAAAATACAAAAATTAATGGCCAGGCGCAGTGGCTCACGCCTATAATCCCAGCACTTTGGGAGGCCAAGGCAGGTGGATCACGAGGTCAAGAGATCGAGACCATCCTGGTCAACAAGGTAAAACCCCGTCTCTACTAAAAATACAAAAATTAGCTGGGCATGGTGGTGCGCGCCTGTAGTCCCAGCTACTTGGGAGGCTGAGGCAGGAGAACTGCTTGAACTCAGAAGGCGGAGGTTGCGGTGAGCCAAGATTGCACCATTGCACTCCAGTCTGGGTAACAACAGTGAAACTCCGTCTCAAAAAAAAAAAAAAATTAGCTGGACACTGTGGTGCGTGCCTGTAACCCCAGCTACTCAGGTGGCTGAGGAAGGAGAATCACTTGAACCTGGGAGGCAGAGGTTGCAGTGGGCCAAGATGGTGCCATTGTACTCCAGCCTGGGCTATAGAGTAAGACTCTGTCTCGAAAAAAAAAAAAAAAATATATATATATATATATATACTCATTGTCTTTTAAGCAATAAATGTAGAAATTCAGTCTGGGCAACATGGTAAAACCTATCTCTCCAAAAAAAAAATACCAAAAAATTAGCTGGGTATAGTGGTATGCACCTATAGTCCCAGCTACTGGGGAGGCTGAGGTGGGAAGACAGCTTGAGCCTAGGAGGTAGAGGTTGCAGTGAGCAGTGACTAAGCACCATACTCCAGCCTGGGTGACAGGAGATCTTGTTTAAAAGAAAAAAAAAGTAGAAATTTGGGTCATATTTAGTATGGTCAATTTCTAACAGGCTGAATAGTGTTGACCATAAATACCTATCCATCTGAAGGCACATTGCCAATGGCATAGCCTATAGCTTGATTCTCAGTCTTATCCTATTTAACATTTAAAAAAATAGTAATTTAGATGGGGTCTCACTATGTTGCCCACACTGGTCTTTAACTCCTGGGTTCAAGTCATCATCCCAAAGTGCTGGGATTACATATGTGAGCTACCATGCCTGGCCCTGTTTACCATTTTTATTAATGATTTGGATGTGACCATTTATGGCACAGTAACGAAATAGGTGATGGATAAAAAAAAAGAAAAATATGAGCCAGGCACGGTGGTTCATGCGTTCAATCCCAGCACTTTGGGAGGCTGACGCGGGTGGATCACAAGGTCAGGAGTTCGAGAGCAGCCTGACCAATATGGTAAAACCCCATCTCTATTATTTAAAATAAATAAATAAATAAATAAATAAGAACGAAAAGTATGACAGTTGAATCTGCTGGACCGAATAATCAGTATTCCAAAGATGTAACCAAATTAGATTATTAGAATACTGAACTAAATAATCTCTAACAGACCTAAACTAAAAAAAAAAATTTAATAAAAACAGAGTAGGTCGGCACCATTTTGCTGGAGCCTGCAACCAAGTGGGAGTGGAGCAGAGAGCTACTGTTGCCAATTCTTTCCTCTTCCCCATGGTTCAGTCAGCGGGTTGATTAGGCTGTCAGCCATCGAGCCAAGACTTGTCTCTTAATCAGTTTTGGGGAGCACCCCATCAACATGAGTGATGTAGAGAACAACTTGAAGGGCACAATTAGTATTTGTGAAGAAACTGAAGAGTTTTTCCAAGAATGTGGAAGATAAATCAAGATAAAGGAAGGCTAATAGAATGTATTAAGAATCAGAAAGTTAAAATTCAATGTGGGAAAAATTGATCAGAAGATTGGTAAGACAGAAGCACTTGAATTTTTTTTTTTTTTTTTTTTTTTAATAAAGATGGGGTTTCACCATGATGGCCAGGCTGGTCTTGAACTCCTGATCTCAGGTGATCCACCCACCTCGGCCTCCCAAAGTGCTAGGATTACAGGCTTGAGCCACCGCGCCTGGCCAGCACTTGAATTTTTTTAAGGCTATTTTGAATTGTTTGAATTGGGGAAGAATATGCAAAACATAAAAAGTGAAAAACTCAAGAATCAAGAGAAGTAGAAAGCAAGAATTAAAAGAATCTGGAAGAGAAGTAGAAAGCAAGAATTAAAAGAATCTGGAAGAGAAGTAGAAAGCAAGAATTAAAAGAATCTGGAAGAATGAATGGATCCTAGGTTACATAAATGAGTCGCACTCTCACTCAAAATCTCTAACAGGAACTCCTGCTCATGTAAAATAGGAGAGAAAGTCAGAATCTTGTAGCCCTGCAAGGGTTTCCAAACACTCTGAGTCCCATTCTCGATCAAAATCAAAATCAAGGTTGAGGTCAAGGAGGCATTCTCATTGACGTTAACACACTCGATACAGATCCCTCTCTTTCAGGAGACAATCTCGAAGTAGATCACATACACCAGAACACTGGCAGCGAAGTAGCCAAAGTCATTCTCCAATGTCTAACCAGAGAAAACATACTAGCAGAAGGGCAAATCCAGAGCCCAATACTTGCCTTGGAGTACTTGGCCTCAGTCTGTACACAACAGAGAGAAATCTTTGTGAAGTATGTTCTCAATATGTTCTCAATATGAATGGTGTCAATGAGTCTCGAGGATTCGCTTTTGTTTATTTTGAGAGAATAGATTACTCAAAAGAGGCTATGGCAAGGGCAAATGGAATGGAGCTGGATAGTAGAAGAATTCAGGTGGATGATTCTATTACCAAGAGAACACACACACCTATACCAGGCATCTACATGGGCAGAACAACTCATAGTGGTGGTGGTGGAGGTGGTGGTAAAGACAGCAGTGGAGGTGGTGGCAGACGTCGAGATTCTTACTATGATGGAGGAAATGATCATGGATATGACAGATATGAAGACTATGATTACCAGTACAGAAGATGATCACCTTCTCCTTATTATATAAGATATAGATCACAATCAAGATCTCATTCCTGCAGCCCAAGATGCTATTGATAATGAAATGGTTCCAATGAAGGACATTTTTTCCTCTTTATCTTTTTCTCTTTCTTTTAATTCTGGATTTCCCCAAGTTTCTGATTCTTCTTACTCTTTAAGAAGGAAAAAAAAAACTGGTTTATTTAGTATCTACATTATACTCCTAAAGATGTAACTGTTGTCATTTTGAGTAGTTAAAAATCTTGAGTATGCCAGGCACGGTGGCTCACGCCTGTAATCCTAGCCCTTTGGGAGGCTGAGGTGGGTGGATCACCTGAGGTCAGGAGTTCAAGACCAGCCTGGCCAACATGGTGAAACCCCATCTTTAAAAAAAAAAAAAAAGAAAAAAAAATCTTGAGTATAAAAGAAACCCTAGTTTTATGCTTCATAAATTTTCTTTGTTTGCTTTTACTAAGATAAACTCCTAATCAAATAAGAAATTATCTTTTTAAAGTTTATTTTGTGTTAGATATTGCATTAGAGACATGCATTTATGAAGAACTCCTTTTTACACTTTCTTTTGAGGAAGACAGTAATACATGAAGTAGTTCAGTCATGTCATGCTTGTCTGGGGTGGCATGGAACAGTCAAGTGGTTAAGTGCGGAAAGTTTGAAGCTATAAAAGAAAACACTTGGACATTTCTTTTGAAGAATGGAATTTTTGAGCCCTAAAAATTAAGTATTTTTTTTAGAGATGAAAAACTTGTAGACGCCTATAAAACATGTTGTATTTAAAATACATCTGTTAAAACTTTGGCTGGGCACAGTGGCTCATTCCTGTAATCCTAGCACTTTGGGAGTTGGAGGCAGGTGGATTGCCTGAGCTCAGGAGTTCGAGACCAGCCTGGGCAACACGGCAAAACCCCATCTCTACTAAAAATACAAAAAATTAGCTGGGCATGGTAGTGCATGCCTGTACTCCCAGCTACTCAGGAGGCTGACCCAGGAGAATCACTTGAAACCCAGGAGGCAGAGGTTGCAGTGAGCTAAGATTGAGCCACCGCACTCTAGTCTGGGTGACAGAGCAAGATTGTCTCCAAAAAAAATAAAATATATCTGTTAAAACTTAAAAACTGGACTCCGGGGTCGACCGGATGTTGGCAGCGGCCACCGGACTTAGCCTCTGGCCAGCTGTATCTGAGGTCAACCAGCAGGCCGCCGGGGGGCAATCCCACTAGGGCGGTGATGAGGGATTGGATGCGACAGTGCCTCTTTCCCCTTGGCCCACCTCCTCTGGGCATAGCTGGGACTGCCCGTGCCCAACTTCTTCTACTACTTGCTTTTCAGCCCTACTTTCAGTTTGCACCCACAGGTCTGAGAGGCCGGTCTCGAACTCCCGACCTCATGATCGAGGCTCATGGCAGCGTCAACCACCCCTCCCTAGACTCGGGTGATCTCAGCCTCCAAGTAACTGAGACTACAGGGTTCTTGTAAGCCCAGGAGGTGGAGGTGGTGTTGACTGACAGCTCGAGATGATCTCAAACTTTTGCACTCCAGCCATCCTCCCAGCCGGCCTTTCAGACTGCTGCAATGACAGGCGTGAACACAGAAAGGGCCTGGTCATATTTGTCTTGTGTGTTTCTTTCCAGTCCTTGTTTCCAGTCTGGATGCATAGTTGACAGTACGGGCGTTGCAAACAAAGACAATTGTCACACACATCTCACGATCCTGCCTTTTCTTTCCAGGGCCACAAGCCCCATCGAGGGTGCGTGCCTGATCTCCAATGGTTTTATATAGTGTAGAAAGCGTTAGCCATGTGCACCTGTTGTTTTTTTTTTTTTTGGACGGAGTTTTTCTCTTTGTTGCCCAGGCACAATCCCCGCCTCCCGGGTTCAAGCGATTCTCCTGCCTCAGCCTCCACAGTAGCTGGGACTACAGGTGCCTGACACCACACCTGGCTAATTTTCCTATATTTAGTAGAGAGGTGGTTTCACCACATGAACCACGATGGTCTTCACCTCTTGACCTCGTGATCCTTCTGCCTCGGCCTCCCGAGGCTTTCCTGGTGGGATTTCCATGGGACAGGCATGCATGCGTCCGAACTGACAGGGCTTTCCAGATCCATGTCCTGGCAGATGTCTCTGGCTCAGTGTCCCCCATCGGCTGCCTGATTTTTATTATTATTTTTTTTTTTTCTCTCTCTCTCTTTTAAGCTGGGCTCGCCTTCTCACCCGTGTTGCTCAGTTGCTCAGGCTGGCCTCAAACTCATGGCCTATTTCAACTTTAGTATTATTATTATTGTTGTTGTTGTTGTTCCTATTATTTTTGCGAGGTATGTGGCGGAAGCTACTGCTACTTAGCTATGTAGGGAAACTCTGCTCTTAGGACAAATTTTCATACTCAGTGAAAATTTCCCCTTCAAACAAGCATCTCTTGAAAGATGGAAATGATTTAAAAAATAAAGAGAAAAAAAACTTCAAAACTAAAGTACGATTTTTTTTTTGTTAAATTTATTGAAGTTTAGGTATTCCTTTAATCAATAAAAGACAACCCTTATTTATTACCTAGGACAACTATATATATATATATGTGCTGTTAGAAATTTTGGTATTGGAACAATGGGTAAGCAGTTTATCATATAGTATAGAATCCTTAGAAGATACATGTTGGGGAAAGAAGTCTCCTTTCAAATAAAAGTTAATTTATTTTGAAAAAATAAAATAAAAAGACCCAAACTACTGAATTGTCCATTATAGGAAAAAAGTCATCAGGAAACAGACTAATGAAATCTCAAGCTGCACTAGAAATGTCCAGAATATGGAGAGTGGAAATTATCATGTTCTATACTATAGTGATGAACTGCATGGTCCATTTCAACCAACATTCCCTGGGCACCTACTATTTGCCAGACCACAGTGAAATATTGTTTTCAGTTTCAGTTCATATCACATATTAACAAACAAAAACATATTCAAGAGAAAAAAAAGGGCCAGGCACGGTGGCTCACGCCTGTAATCCCAACACTTTGGGAGGCCAAGGCGGGCAGATCACAAGGTCAAGAGATTGAGACCATCCTGGCCAACACATCTCTACTAAAAATACAAAAAATTAGCAGTGCATAGTGGCATGCTCCTGTAATCCCAGCTAGAGGCTGAGGCGAAAGAATTGCTTGAACCCGGGAGGCAGAGGTTGCAATGAGCTGAGATTGCGCAAATGCACTCCAGCCCGAAGACAGAGCAAGACTCCATCTCAAAAAAAAAAAAAAAAAAAAAGTAAAATGCAGATCTCTGAATGCTAAAAGGTTTTTACTCATAAAGAATAAAAGCAACTTAGAAAAATATCGTCAAGGCCGGGTGTGGTGGCTCACGCCTGTAACCTTGGGAGGCCGAGGTTGGTGGATCACCTGAGGTCAGGAGTTCAAGACCAGCCTAGCCATCATGGTGAAGCCCCATCTTTTAAATAAAAAAAAAAAGTCATCAAAGATCATCCTAACAATAATACCTAACATTTGCTTAGTACTTATTACATCTGGCAGCCATGGAGGCGTGTCGATTATATCAACCTTTATGAAGTAACTTTCCAATAAGCTTCTAGGTACACAGTTAGCTATCAGCCTCCTACTACAGTCCTTTCAGGATGCCCAGCTTTCAAGCTGAAATCACACTCTTCAGCCCCACCCAATGACTGCTCATAACATAGGCTTAAGGCCTGGCCATTTCTGTCCAATGCAGAACTCCTTCAATGAACAATTTTTGTTCGAGTCTTCACTGTGTTGTCTGAGACTCTGTCAGACCTGCATCACACTCTGAGACTCTCCCTGACAATTCTGCCTCCTCTCCCTTTCCTTTCACAGAAATCCTCTCCTACCTCATATACCTTTTACATTCTTGTCTCAGCAGCTGCTTCCTAAAGGACTCAAACTGGCACAGCTGGTATCAGAAATTGACTGAGAAAGCAGGAGGTAAGATCAGGTTTAGGAACTAGATAACTTACTGCCCTACTGACAATGAAGATCTCATCCCAGGTGGTACATGAGGCATGACAGGCTCTGGCACAAGCTGGTGACTCAACTGTTAACACCCAAGTTATGACTTGGGAGAATGTTCCCAGAGAGTAACACTCAGACTGGTGTAAAGATCCAGATATTTGGGAAGGGGAACACAAAACATATAAGAACAATGGAGTTGGCTAGCTGTTACACTGTCCTGGCTCCCCAGAAAGGGCAGCTAACAACTGAAAACTAAGCGTGAAGGCCAGCAGGCTCTTTGGTAACTCATAAACAGCTGAGTTACCAAAGAGCCTGTTGGCCTTCACGCTTAGTTTTCACCTACTATGGAAGGCAGTAAAAGATGAAGAACAAACTCAGGATGGCTACAGACCACTGCTTCACAATGACTGAATGCTCAGCCAAGCCAGAGTCGTTATATCAAGGTCAGGGTAGTGGTATGGAAAACCTAGAGGCCTGATAGACAGGTTAGAAATGGATAGTTGCCCCCAAAGACTGTCATTTTCCAAATTCTTTGAACTCTGAATCTTCAGAGATTAGTTAGCACTCCCTGCTGTGCAGAAGCACACTTTAGAGGTCTCTCACCTGCAAGGCAACACAGGGGCTCCTTTGGGATCTGCCCCATCTGCATTACTGGATGCGATGATAATAGCTAGTGCTAACCCTGCCAAAGACATCTTGGACCCTGCCAAGTGCCAGGTGGCAGCACTTAAACCCCTGATAAGGGAGAACAGGGACTATAATCCCCCAAAGAACGGCAAGAATTAGCCAGAGTAAACCAGCAGGACCGGCATAAACCACAGTGCTAAATTTTCAAGGTGCTTAATCAAGGAAGTAGGAACATTAGACTAAGGTCAAGTTCACTGGTTGAGATGGGGCTGTCTCAGGATATGAGAATTAACACTATGGCAGGGACCTAGGAGACGGTATAAACTGGCTGTTGGGTGGCTCCTAGGAGCCTGGAGAAAATGATGGCCCAACCTAAGAGATTTTAATGATG